GTTCAAAGATGATGCTTGTGTAGCTGAATAGAACAAAATATTAAAGACATGTAAAAAATGTAAAAAAGAATTGGTTCCCAGCATTTGTATTTATTTAATACATTGTGGTGTTTAAAAAGTGACCATTTTTTGACACGATTAATTTGCGCAGAACTGCTGCAATTGATCATAAAGCAGTTGCTTGGAAAAGAAGCTCGAGAAAGAGCTAGAGAATAGGACAATGCAAACTTCAAAAAGTGGTTGGAAAAGATGAATTCGTGACATGGCTGCAGCCTGTCGAGAGTAAAGATGATTTCACCGTGTTATCCATCCATCCATCCATGGAACTGTGCTTACACCTCCTTATTTCATACTAATAACTTGTGTTCATGATACTTGTTGATGGCATTAAAAATATTTCTAATATCATTAAAAGAGCATTTAATTAGGGGTCATGGAGGAGTAGGACGTGCGCTGCTCGTGCTCCCGCAAATATTCAAACTTTTTGACCCCCTTTTCTCCCAAGATAAGCCTTCTGATACTATCCGTGCCCCCTTTAATCCGTATTCATCCTGTTGTGATGCAAAATGTCTCGGAAACTGGCGAAAGTGGGCGAAAAATCAGATGGAGACGGCATTAGCAAGGCAGACCTGTTGGCCACGCTAGCTGAAAACAAAGATGCGCTGCTAACGGAGCTGAATGCTTCCATCGACAAACTTTACGAGAAGGTGGATGGGTTTCAGGACTCTCTCGATAACCACGATGTTCGGCTGACGTCTTTGGAGGAAGGTGCAGTAGCCATAGACCACCGTTTAGACAAGCTCAAGGCCTCCTGTGCTAAGCTACGCAATGCTAATGACAAGCTACAAGCTAAAGTTGTGGACTTAGAGGGCCGTAGCAGGAGGTCCAACATCAAAATAATCTGTCTGGACGAAGGGCTCGAAGGGCCTCAACCTAGCGTATTTTTCTCCCAAATGCTCCAGAAAGATTTTGGCCCAAACGTGTTCCTTTCTCCCCCAGAGCTGGATCGGGCTCACCATGGCCGAGCCCTCGCCATGTTATAATATGCTTCCACCGCTTCCAGATCAAAGAGCGAGTGATTCGTGAGGCCCGGACCAAGAAGCAGCTGGACTACGAGGGACACACTTTCAGACTTTATGAGGACTACTCCCCAGAGGTAGTCGGTCAGAGGAGGGCGTATAGATCTGTCATGTCGTCCTTGTATACCATGGGACTGAGACCTGCTCTGCTCTACCCTGCGAGGCTTAGCATCACTCAAGCAGACGGTAAACATACGTGGTTCAATTCTGTTGAAGAGGCAGAAAAATATGCGGAGGCAGCTGCCAACGCATCATAACATTTCAACTATGTGTGGACTTGAAGAACTCCACATGGACAGGCCAGGTTTATGTTTACTGTGATGCTGGTCAACTTTTCCTTAGCTCTCGACTATATTACTTGGCCTGTCCACAATGTTCAGTTCAATTTGGGGTATTTCTATTTTGTATTAATATCTTTTTTGGCTTTAAGGCTCAGTGGTATTGTCCCTCACTTTTTGGGGGTCAATTTAATTCTGATTCTATTTTGCACTTTACGTGGATTGTGGGGGTTTGAGTTAGATTAGAATAGAATGTGTACTTACCCAGGAAGACGTATGCTAGTTAGGTTAGGTGTGCTGTTGGTTTTGTGTTTAACAGCTAGTTTCACCTCAGGGGTTTTTTGTTTTATTTTTGAGCTGTCATCGGGGGATGCTTTTTATTTTTTATTTTTTTGACCGATTAACAATTACTACATTTTGTATTGAGGTTGTACTGTACTCTTTTTTTTTTTCCCATAAGGCTTTGTAATGAATAATTTAAACA